CCATGAACATGCTATGTCCGTTGCAGCCTGCCAGGGACATGATAGGTCCATGGCGGTTGTTTTATCCACACCGTATTTTTTCGGACGGTGATGAGCCTACGGGGGTAAACACTAGTCATTTTCGCCCATAGGCATTTGTTAGTGGCTTCCATATATATATATATATATATATATATATTTATATATATATAGTGCTATACATAACCCCACCATTGGCAGTATTTTGCTCTCAAGGAAGATTCCGTTCCTGGAGTTGTGCCCATAAATAGTGGCACACCAGCCAATCCAATGCAACGTTAGGGCGGTTTTATTGCTAATCCAGAAAAAAGGGGGCCATACATATGGCAGCTAGGGATGGCTACGGTGGCAATCGGTCCAGGTTGTTCCGAACTGTGTCTGGGTCCAGGTCTAGATCAACTTGACCCAGTATAAAATATATGAATGATATGTAAAATATATATTTTATAGTATAGATCTTAATATGTTTTTAATTTTTAATTTTTAGACCCCAGCCCGGGCCGAAATGACATGGACCCAACCATGGTCAGGGTCCGTATCCATGTAAAGCCTAGTGGGGTCGGGTCCGACCCCATTGCCACCCCTATACGGCATCCTTAGTGACTACAAGCAGCTAATAGTAGGTTTTTGGTGTAAAATATTTGCATGTCTCAAGAAACGGGCTTGGGTTAAGACGGTAGCAGTTGGGTTTTCATAGCATTACGTTTCAAGATACATTCCTATGTAACCTTGTCAAAAAAAAAAAAAATTGCATGTTTCTTTTTGTTCTTAAGGGACGCTGTCTTTTCTACATGATGATTCCCTTGATGAAATTTATTTTGCTGAAGCGGGTACTGATGCTAGTTTTAGGCATTAAGAAATAAGAACCAGGAGTAATAGATTTGTATTTTGCGTATCAATTGTTGCTTTCTTTTACTCTATGCATGCCTAGCAAACGTGGATAGCAAACATTGTGCTCTGGTGTTAAGGCATGGGGTAGTTTATTTGTCTTTGGATCAGTTAGGACTATAAAATTGATACCCCTGTAGGTATATCCTTGGAATTTACTCCATTCACTCAATATATATACTATTGCATTCTAACAAGTTGCTAATTGTTAATGAGAAAATAACAAAAACTATGGCCACCATTCACCATGTCGGAGACATTCTTGTTTATTGTAAAATTTGTATCATCATATAGAACCGAACAACAAACATAAAACTGTGAAGGAGTTTCAGATTGGTGGTGAATATATTGTTTTATTCATTCAATTCACGGTCTCAACCCCCATCCCCACCTGTGATGAAAATATGAAATTTATGCTATATGTGACTTTCTACTGCATGTAAATTGAAAGATGGGACCGACTGGATGCTCATTGTTCTTGCAGGGATGGTTTTCTCCAAATCATTCTACTGAAAATTTGAAGTTGCGGTCACCACTTGGTATCTTAAATGGTTGTAACCAGAATATAGGAAAGAGAGGAAGGGGGGGGGGGGACACTGCCGTTAGATCAATTAGCATAGGAATGGGTCCAGAGTATAAATGTATTTGCTTATGTGAAACTTGTTTTTCTAAGCTGGTCGTACTTTAAGAGCCTTTTGGCGTACTTTACTTGTGTACATGTTATGTTATGGGAAGCTCTCAAAGCTTTCAGTGGTTGTTTGAACGGCATCGGACTGTCGACATGGAAACTTGCATATTGTAATTGATTTTGCTTTTTAACCTTAATATCTCCAGCAGAGTACATGGTCTATGAAAGGTGAGGATCTTAGACTTTCCCTTAACCTTCTCAAGCCCCGGTAGAAATGGTGGATTGAGTTAGGTGAGCAGCCAACGTAAAATTTTGTCAAAATTTTTTGTGTAGCCGACCCCAATTAGGTGGTGATGATAGCCAGCAAAATATAATGTAGAGAGCTATATTACCATATTTTGGAAAACTGTGAAAACCAGTGAAAATCACATTCTTGTAATGATTGCATTTTGTATTGATTAGAAAATGAAAGAAAGATGTATAAAAGCAATAAAAATACAATTAGAAATACAAACGTCGTGTTATCTCAATTTTAATAACTTAAAGGAAAATTCATATGCTAAACTCATGGAAAACTGATACAAATCTACATATGAAGTTAAGATACATGAAATTTAGTGATCTACATATGTTTTGCACTGCATGATCACAAATTGCAGAGATTAACCTCTATTGTATATCATTAAGATGGATGGTACCATCAATCAATGGTGTACATTAGGCTTTATATTCCTACTACTACTCTCTTCAATTATTTCTTAAACAGTAAAATTATTGCATACCACTTCCATGTCTTATCTCTTTGTAGTGCTCATAAAATTCTGACAATCCTATTTGTAATTATTATACAACGGTAATCTATTAATCTTCTATACCATATTATAGGAAAACATTACAAAATGCCTATAGGTGAAGTTTTACAGTATTTTACCTATGGTTTTATCATCATTCAAAGTTTATCACATGGTCACAAATGTCTGATAGTGTTTGAATTTTAATTTTTTTTTAACAAATCATAATAATCTGAAATTTTGTAGGCGTGTGCGTCTTAGTGAGATGCATATGAATAAAATATAAAACAAATAATTTGAATGATAAAAAATTACGCAAAATACCCCTATAAAGCTTCAGGGGTAATTACATCATTTTATTTTATGTCTATTGTCTTTTTAATTTATTTTGGTGCTACTTGGTCATATGTACACACGTCCCAAATTTTAGATAAATATGAGTAGTACAATAATTATAAAAATTCAAATACTACCGGACAACTGTGATCGTGTGATGAATTTTGGACAGTGATGAGGTGTAGGTGAAGCATTGTTAGAATTTTACCTATAGGCATTATGTAGATGCTTCCCCATATTATATCTCATCCATCTTAAAATCTATGCTCTTTTCATTTTAATGAATAGTCACAAACAGGAAAATTTTGAAAAAGTAACCTAAAAAGTATATTTGTAGCTTAATTAACATAGACCGTCCATTTTGGTGGGATGCTTAGATCTATGCCATAAAATTATATTTTTTCTTTCTAATTTTTTTATATAACTTTATTATCATTAGATTAACAATATTAAAAAATGAAAAAATGATTTTGAATTAAAAAAAGACCTAGATCTTGAAATTCATCAATTGGTCGGTCTAGATTCATTGTTGCAATGGACTCATTTTGACCATATATAGGGTGCAAAGTAGTTTTTTTTTCTTTTTTAATTGATTATTGAGATGAAGAGAGTGTGTGTGCAAAATTTTGGGTCTTACAAATGCCAGAAACATGGTTTTCTAGAAGTGTGGTTGCATTATACTATATGATACAACCGTTGTATAAAATCACTGCCCGTACATAATATATTGTCCATCCATAGTCCATTAGTCCATAATTTCATACATTTCAAATAAAAAAATAAAGGTTCAAACTAAGTTCAAACTTCAAACTATTTAGATATTAGGGTATTAGATCATACTCCATAATCCATGCCATAATACAAACTCCATGTACTCCATAGACCATACTCCATAAAAATAGAAAAATATAATCCAAGACACAAGAGATCGATTCATTAACAAGAAAGGAAAGAAATTGCACATAGGAGATAGGACGTATCAAATGTCTGTAGTCCACAACTTCACATATATTCTTCTGCACTCCATAAGTCCATATCTATAGTCCATTCATAGTTACAAGTTTACAACTTACATACACATAACCAAGAGAAGGAAAAGAAAAATGGAAGAAATATAGACTTGAAGACTCAAAAGAGTCTTAAGTCATCACTCATCATACCGAAAAAGCAGGGTCAACGGCTTCATATACATCAGAGTCGAGCCCATCATTATGGAAATCACCTCCCTCCTCAACATAATGGTCATTCTTATTTCTCTTGAATCTTGCTCTACTTCCTCCATCCTCATCCACTAATAAGAAAATTTAGTAACTACTATCCTTGAGCCTTTCATAACCATATCTCATGTCAATTCTTCATGCTCTTCGATCTCATCATCAATCAATCTCGTTATCCGTATTTTTTTGATGTGAGGGGTCTCTCTTGGACCCTTAGATACACTTGTCTATGATTGTGTTATTTCCCTCTATAGCCCTAAAATTAGTGCATGCACTTCAATGTGCAATTGAAAGCTACGCTGTATCTTCTATTTACTCGATGGTAGCATTCATCTACACAATATTATATAAGGAAATTACTACCAACACAAACAAGATTATTATCCAATAAAATAATCATCTACACTATAACATATAAAGGAAATTGAGACCAACACAAATCATTGAACAAGATCTAAATGAGGAGTAAAGGTTCAAACTAAGTTCAAACTTCAAACTATTAGATATTAGAGTATTAGATCATACTCCATAATCCATGCCATAATCCAAACTCCATGTACTCCATAGACCATACTCCATAAAAATAGAAAAATATAATCCAAAACACAAGAGATCGATTCTTTAACATGAAAAGGAAAGAAATAGCACGTAGGAGATAGGACGTATCAAATGTCTGTAGTCCACGACTTCACATATATTCTTCGTATCAAATGTCTGTAGTCCACAACTTCACATATATTCTTCCGCACTCCATTTAGTTGTCCTCGATCATTACGAATCAAATATTGCAGTTGGTCGTCGTAAGTAAGATGAAATTAAAGGGATGAGATATGATACATCTAAATAATATCATACATATGTTAAAATAATATATTCACCCATAGAGATTATATACGATGAGACTATTTACTATTTACTTTTGGTACAAGAAGATTATAATTACTTATAACCATCTAACGTGAAATCTGATAACTTGGGTGTGTCACAAAGTTCGAGAGAATTCCTTTTGACCTTTGAGCTCGTTCAATGAAATAAATGAAGTAACTCAATTTCACATTTAATGATCAATATTAATTGTGACTAGCTTGTATCAAAGGTAAATAGCCAATGCTAAATAGACTTCAAAGGAAACTCCATTAATAATTGTATTCATGCTGGAATATAATGCCCATTTACTTAGGTAAACCCTCGAATTAGTTTTGCAGGCCCAAAAAATTTGGGAATATCTCCTCTTCAACCCATAGATTAAAATTTTTCCCAATTGTACTCTCTATGCACTTGAGAAATAATAAAATCTCAAGATTGAATATAGACCGTACTATTTTTAGATGACGATATCTAAATGTTAGAAAACTCAAATTTCAAAAACTTATTTTGAGAATAACCATCTAGTGATTCGTAGGTGGTTCCTAAAATTTCAAATCGAAAAAATCCTCCAAAGTAGGCCTTCTATAGAGGACGTAAAAGTAAACTAGGCTCCCAAGGGAGCATAGCATATGTGCTTAATTAACAAAATCAGGGTTATCCTAAAATCTCAATTGTTGTGGAATCCTAACCAGAGAATGTATGCATCACAATTCATTGAGCACGATTTAAATGAGGGAATATCCAACCAAGGAGAGTATTCGTTTTATTGTAGTTTAATTGTCCCCAATAATTAATTATAAATCAAATATATCTTAGGCCTGGCTAGGAATGGTCATAAGTGAGATGAAATCAAAGGGGTGAAGTATGATGTGTGAGTAATAGCAAATGTACTATCAAAATCATGTGTTTTGTTTTTTTTTGGCGAGTCAGTCGAGAGAGGGCCCTCATCCTTAATAGGAATTGAGTTTAGGATGTAGCGTTGCAAATCGTTAAGCACTGACCAATTGACCCACATAAAAGTAGACATATCGGTAGAACACTATATTTACCCTTATATCACATGTTAATGCCAAGGCCTTAGAAGAAACTCATTTGAAAATTGACAATATGGGATCATTCTAAACAAATGGAATGGCAACCACATCGATAACATATGTGTTCCTCATGGCACAAAGATTTCAGCCCAAGAATATTGGAAGTTTTGGGTAATAAGAATGCATGGGCAACATCAAAATATATATAACATTTGGGGCAATATCGAACTAAATGTATTTGATAGATGAAAGTGAAAATATCAAATCTATTTTTTCAGTTGGGTGGTATTTAGGTAGGGCATCAACATGTTCTTATTGTGTCACATGCCTTGCCTTAAAACTTGTTTATTCTTTGTTTGATGATTAAGATTGGCACATTTCTCCATGTAATAAATGGATTTATTTTATTGTTGGGATTGTATACAGTGAGATCATTTATATTTGATACAAGGTGGTCACAATTCTTTACAACCATTTGATGTGAAATTTGATTGTTTGGGTGTTTCACAAAATTCGAAAAAAATTCTTTTGAAGTTTGAGCATGGTCAATGAAATAATTGCACTCACCCAATTTCACATCTAATGCTCTATATATATATATATATATACTGAAAAAAGATATGGTCAGTAGCCTCATGTAGATAAGCTAAATGTACCAACGGCCCAGAATGAATCTGGGCCGATCTGACGATCACGAATGTCTGGTAGTATCCAGTAGTATTTGAAATTTTTTTTTTCTACTATCCCAAATCACGTAAAATTTTAGATATGTGTTCTTCAAAAATAGGTGAATCTACAAAAAATATAATAAAAATATTTTATATGAAGAACATTGACTAAAATACCTCTGAAACTTTACATGGGTATTTTGGTCAATTTTTCCATGTAAAATATATTTTTGTAATATTTTTAATAGATTCGCTTATTTTTTGAAGAATACACGCTTAAAATTTAAACTCTCAC